TATCGATTGCAAGATTTGATAATCACAGACACGAAAGCGAGCTAAGAAAAATGTGGTAAAAAGTTAGACTTCGAAGGTTTTAGTAAAGCGAAATTTTGCAATATTTACCATATCTTCCTATGCATCACTGTTGAACTTCAATCCTTTGAGCTGCACGGAATATCTTCCCATTTGAACCTCGAGAAATCATTCTAGCGGTGGCATGCGATCGAGCACTCCATCGAGGTTTCAACGATGGATCAAAATGGAATTTTTATTTTCCTACACAAAAGCTATCGAGAGTAACTTTTGACTCCAGTTACCCCCAGAAACTAATTTTCAGAGCTAAGCAGCGTTGCTTTTTATTAAAAGTTAAATTATGGCTCTCTTCCGGCCACTTGAAGTTGATTCTGTTAAATCGACAATGATACGTGTATGCATGCCTGATCTTCTCATTCATATCCTCTAGAAATGAAGACAGTTTACTTATGATAAGATAGCATCGAATAAGGTTCAATAATTGATTTAATTAATAAGTTTATTTTATCAAGTTAATAAACCAAATCAAAACTGGATCAGCATGACCTTATTCATATTTTTTCGACATTAAAAACCGAAATCGCCACGTCATCAATTTTTCCATTATTTTTAAGTCTGTAAATCTGTTGATAAATCACAACATTAAACGATACGAATCAAAATGCGAATAGAATCTTGCTTCGATTGACGCCATTTTTTCGAATTTTGTATTTTCAGCTCAACCCAATCAGATTAAATTGACCGGCTCAAGTCAATGCCGCAGCCCAGTCTGAGTACACGGAAAACCGCCAGGTTGATTGAAAATTGATTACAGAATCCACTGTTAGCATTCAGCAATAAAATTATATGTATATGATGCTCATATTTAATCACTCGAGAATGACTCAGCATTTAAGGTGTTGTTTTGTAATATTGTAATGAATTCTTGGGGTAAGTAAGTCATAAGCTTGTGAATTACCGATCTTAAAGATCGATATCAACATTTTCACACTTCAAACATATATTCGTGATGATCTACACAGCCTTAAATGACTAGTGAATGTATAATATTCCAATTTTCTGGGAGAAGAAAAATTCTTCAGATGATGTTAATAGATAAAATAAATCATTAATCGTACTCATTAATCGTACGTGCTTTAACAAGGAAATTCTGCCATCTAATACTAATACAGCCTTATTTGTGTAGATTGAATCGATTATTTTTGAGGGAATATCACGGCGATCATTATTTTACGGAAGATTTTCCCAGTCGTAGTTTTCCAAAATAAGCTTAGTTTATAAGAGCTTGGTGCACATCGCTTCTAAAATGAATATTTTAGCGCCTTTTATGCAATTTGAATCAATTAATTTTACAATTAAATGACACAAATTTAAGAATGCTTATAAAATGTGAGTACTTCTTATTGAGACTTTTCGTTGTCGTAATAAAATTACCTCATTACGCTTAAATATCAGGAAACGCTAATCGCTTCTCATAGGTAGATTTTGTCTAAATAATATAAAGAGTATGTGGATCTTCATTGACTGCTATTACCGATTGCGATGAACTTCAAGGCGAATATTAAAAACTTCCAAAAATAATGTGTTTAGATTCAAATAGAAAAAGAAAGACAAATAAAAAGAATCGACACATGAAAAAATATGCATTATGACACACAAAATGTAAGATTCATTCAATAGATACCCGAATAAAAGCATGCGAATCGTACAAAAAAAGAAGACCAATGCTCCCAATTTCACGGATAACTTTGTCCTAGGAGAAAATGGAATGCAATTGCAGGTAACGAAAAGAAGAATAGAATGGTTCGCTTAGCTTTGGAGCAATTATAGCTATTAGCCTCTAGCAGTGGCAGATTATGTTGGTGCCGAGTGCTAACTGCACCTAGTGCTCAGTGAGATCGACAAAGAGTATTTCTTAAGAGGAACAAAGGGAAGAACTAACTAGCTAGTAAAAGCAATTTAGACGTCAGGTGACAAAGTTACAATTTTGAGTCCAGAGCACAAAAGCGACCAAGTTCAATTTCAAGAATTGGCGAAGCCACGGGCTATGCAAACGGCGTGAACGAGTTTACCTTTCGTGGTATGGCGTCTGAAAATCGACGATTGGAGAGGCTTACGAAGCTATGCAATGCAAGCAAGCTGCATTATGCAGCTGCTTTACGAACAAAAAATGATGCCGTACGTCCTACTGCAAGGTGTAATTTTCGCGGAACTTGTGTCGTGCGATGGCACTGAGCATTTGCAGCTCATCTGCGCCCGGGATTATGCAAAACGCTCCACTAAGGCCATTCGTCGCGCGACCATATACTTTTTGGCAAAACTATAGTTTGATGCAGACATGTTTTTGTGTATGCAAAAAAATTCGTCATTACCATAGAATCGTTATTAGGAACTTCTTGAACTAAAATTCTGGCCCATTGCATTGATTTTATAAAAAAATGTGACGTCTAGGCATACATTAATCAAACATACAGCCGTGTGGATTTTACACGTTGAAAATACAGAAGCATTTCAGCTTTTGAGGAGAAGTCGGAAATTATCGCCTTCTGTCTTACTTAATGTATTGTTCTGAAAAAACCCTAGCAGAATTTTCAAGTGCAATTTCAACGAAGTAATTTTATTTCTGCAAGGCGCCATTAGTGTCATGCACGAATATGCTAATGGGAATGATGGCTTATCCACAGCACGAAGCCTAAGTTTCTCATATTTTTATAAGTTCCTTAGAAATTTTATCATACAAAAAAAAACAATGAAACTTGCATTTCATTGTAAATGTCTACTTTATTCGTCAATAATTTTTGTGCGTGTTAAAATATTTTTAGGTGAACTTCATTGTTGATCATCAATTTTTGAAGTTTAGTTGTTCAAATAATAATAAGATACGTTGTGGACGGGACCTTTTTATCATCTCTTTACCATCTACTGCAGTATCTGTTTTTAATCGGGATTTAATTAGAATATTCGAATTTTAATTTAATGATTTAAATTTAAAAAATACAAATTTCTCTGTTTAAATGTCGGGATTTAAATTAAAAAAGTCTTACACGACCAGAATAAATAGGAATAATTTAGCAAAATATGTATACCATTTCCTATGCACAGTTGATTTATAAAATTTAACTGATTGAATTCCTGCTTTTCCTGCGTTGAATTTTCCTGCTTTTTTAATTAAATTCCCTTAATAGAGTCATATTTAAAATAGTCATATTTATATTTACGTTGAAACTAGTTCGAATTATTCATTATTCAACGTGAATTATTTTTCATTTTTCAATTAAAGAAAAAATTTAATTACTTCAAAACCTTTTTTATTTCTAATCCCCAGTTATGTTTCAACCAAACTGTGATAAAATCACAAATAAATATTTTTGCTTGCATCTATTCTAAAACATTAAGTGATTTTCATTATATGACTAATACCCAGAGTAAGCATTCTCAGTGTTTACAAAATTTATAACGAATCAATTGAAAGCTTCAGTTTGGATCAATGTTTTCCCGTATTGTTTTAAAACTATACAGACGAATGAACAAGAAGACAGATTGATTAAATTTTATGCAGCCGAATAATGGTATCCTTTTAATATTTAGAAATAATAATGATGAATAATGCCGGTTATTAATTCGCATGTTAGGAAATTCCGCATTAGAGAATTTGTCAAGAGAAATTGACCAAGCAACAGAGAAGTAAAATTAAAACGATTTCAATATCAAGTTGATGGTTCAACTTGTTAATGTTATACCATAAAACAATTGTTAGAAACTTCTTCCATGAATTTGCAAACGAAGGAAAAACTCAAGTCATGATGTAATTTTGAAAGTAAAATCGTCAACGGGAATCATTCAAATTTCGTATAACTGACTTGTGTATGCCACGTGACAATTGGTAATGGGTATGAGATTATGATTATGATTATAAAATTTTTTTCGTGGTGAAGTTTCTCCTCCACAAGGAAAATGTGAATTAAAATAAATTTTCATACGCCTAATTAATTTTTAACAGTTTTAAATACATAACAGAGCACATTATTGCTCATGAGCTTAATGACATCCAATTGTAAATTAGTATTGATTGCAATTCGGACAGATTGCTTCAAACTATCCAAATTAATTCGATTAATATAAATTATCTATGTGAAAAATTATAAGTCAAAAATTAATAAGGTGATAAATAATTATTGTATTAAAATTTGCCATATCATTAATAGATACACACAAAATTTCCACTCTAAGTGCCCAAAATAAACGCAAAAAAATATATATATAAATAAAACCCCAAAACGCAAAAATTTCCAAGCAATCAAATTTATATCAGGACAAAAATAATCTCAACAATCATGTTTTTATTCAATTACTAGCCATATTTGTTTTCAAATATTAATCAACTTTGAAGAAACTGAAACAAGTATTCATCTTGTTGGAAGGAAAAGCTAATGTACGTCAGCGCGAGCAGGGCAGAGCTGAGCTGCTGCCTTGCTTGCCGCTTGGCGAGTTCGGAGAATCGGACGTAAGCGATGGTTTTTGCCCGCCCCATCCAACGTCTGTTTCAAGTTTAACTCAAGAAATGCAGAAGATAAAAGTGTGCAAACAGTCCGTTATGATAACTTTAATGAATTTTAAGATGTTGTGTCATTTACTTACCAGTGAGTATTAGTTTCTTATCTTGGTCCATGTAGGGTGACCTTCAAGTCATGACTTGACTTTGCTTTCGATTGACTTCCTTTCGTCAAATACCACAAGGCTAGCCCCTCCCACACTCGTTTATCAAAGTTAAAAGCAAGAGTGTTTACATGAAATGAAAATTGTGACATTGTTTTATCATAAAACCAAGAAACTACGATAACCCCCTTCACACCACATGAATACGTTGCCGTATCAGTTCACCGATCGCTGTATACCTCACTACAGTACCGAAGACTGGCTCAGGCCACGTTTTTAATCATGCGCGCGCATGCGAACCATTCAAAAGCCGCGCCGTTACTCACCTGAAGGCACTTGGACGGTCTGCTTAGGTGCTTCTTCTCCGGGCACTTTATCCTTGTTTGCATCACAACTAATTTCTTCACTTATAGTATAATTTACACTATCTACATGGACTAAACTTTCATCACGTGCGTTGTTCTGTGCTTCTTCTTCCTCCATAGCGACCACACTGCACTCTTTACTCCTAGCACAACTTTCGTACTCTGGTGTCGCCCATTGCTGCCTAACGTCACTCGCGAGCGAGCTTGCATCGGAGTTTGATATTCGTTTTCGGTGTTTCGGAGAACGCAATCTGGATGCACTATTCCTTGATTTGTTTTCCGATTGTAATGGAGGACTTGCTGAGATCGTATCATTTAGAGGCGATCGCGAAGCCGATCTTCTTCTCGTGGAAGAAGTAGCAGTGCATGAAAGTCCACGCCACACCTCACTGCCTGAAGGGCTCACGCTTCCTCCGACCGCTGCAATCCATCCAGGGTCGCTTGAAGTCACTGCTTCGATGCCCAACCATCTCTGAGTACTCAAAGTAGACGGTGACAGAGCTCCAACTTCCCAGCCATGCCCGAATTGTCTGCCTTGTTCCACAGGTACTGGAGGGATGGACTGCTGCCCCGACAGATGACCAGTACCGAGAAAGGAGGCAACCAGATGTGGAGTGGAAGGGGTGAGTGTGGTAAAAGATGGACTTAAAATGGGTAAAGAACAAGGAGAAAATGTAGTCGGAATTAATAATGGGTCACATGGCGATTGCGGAGCCCACCCTTCGCCCAAGATAGGATGATCAGTATTCGCTGGTAACAGTTCCGTGTACTGGGCATGTGGTTCTTCATAATCTGATGAGGCTGCATACTGATTCGTGGACGACGTGTTAGGGACGGCAGTCGTGGATGAGTGCGGCCAGTTTTGTTCCAAAAGAGGACTTTGATGCTGGCTTCCAGACGTCCCCGGTGAACCATACATGCTCATTGGAGTTAATCTCCGAAGAGTATCGGGACTAGGAGCATTTTGACGGGGGTCCACCTTGGTCTGTGGTGGACCCCCCGGAAAATCATCCATGAAAAATGAGAAGTTTGCTGGTGACAGCGGCGGCAGTTGGAGGGGGACTGGGCGCTGAGAGCCTGTCATTGTCCTCGAGTTTACGGTACTCCCTCAGCAGTCCACTTCATGCCAGCGCGCGAAGTGCAGGCATCGGCTCCCCAGTTCGATAGACACTACGTTCACATCACTGCCTGACGAAGTGTACTGTATGACTGCAGAGCCACGGGCTCTTCGGTCAGAGTCAGTCCCTCGTGGCTGAGTCAGGAATGAGTCAAGCGCGTACAACCGGACGTGAGCTGCAATGACGCCAAAGCTGAACTGGTTGCAGATCGATGCAAAACTTGAGCCTATCTGCTGCAGCTGTCACCGGAAACTGCACTATACTGTCATAAATGATAATTCCTTTTGTCCCACCTTACACAATGCAAATTTCCCGCATCGAAACTTTTCTTAACGATTTACGTCACTATTGCCAGTTCTCAGAGTTTTCCGTTTTCTATGCTGTCTCAAATTCAATTTCTTGAGGGGTAACTGCTCCATTGCCTTCACAAGTACCACTTTCCCTTTTAATAACCGCTAAGATCTTCACAATAACTCCCAACACCTCTGTAGCAACCTCACAGAACTACGTATGACTCGCGCCATCTGAAAACGAGGTTTAAATATCACTTCTGGTTGCCGAGCGCGAGCCTGTAACATTACGATCGCGCGGAGTCGACCTGTTGCGACTTGCTGTTACTTGTGTAGACGCTTGAAGCTCACTAGCCGCGGCCATGTGCTCCTTCACCTGCTGCCATCACCGTCCGGAAACTGCTCTTGCAGTCCGCACCAGCAGATGCAACGCGCCGGAAATGACAGAAGACGATGCCCTGACTTCTTAACTGCAACGGGAGGTGCAACCGTTGGTCAGGCATTGTTCAAGTGATGAGCTAACTGTTGACAGTTTGTGTGTATAAAATTATCGATATGACAGACTCATTTGTAGAATATTAATTTATCTGTAGGAAATGCACTTTACTATCTTTTATATTGTAGATCCATGCGGTAGATTTTTCTAGTTTCATCTCCAAATACTTATGTAAGAGCATTTAAATTTCTTTGTCATGCATCCAAAATAAATATTTCTGTGTAACTTATAACTTATAAGCATGTATAATTATAAATGTAATTTTTTGTGACATGGAATAGATAAATTCCAACGTTGAACTTCGTTTCAACGAAAATATAAAAAAAATCGTATGAAATGCAACGACTTTATTAGTGATATATGCGAATCCTGTTGAACTTAAACAACAACACTGTCCAGAAAAAATATACTAAATAAATTAAATATTTGATTATAAATATTTGGTTATCATAAATATTTGATTATCAATGAAATATTCTAGAAAAAATAACAGATCTAATAACTGAACATCTAGTAAGTCTACATTTGTAGGGGTAAATATAATACTGATTTATCCCGAACTGGGAGAGTTCCCCAAAGGACTCTCCCGGAACTATATTTTCATGTCGAATGGCAGATATTTTTTAATTGTTTGTCCGAATTTTGCATCATATTGACGGTTGTTATGTATCTATGAGTCTTATTTGGTATGATAATGGAATAGGATTGTTTCTGCCTATTTTCTCGGCGAATAAGTCAGTGTGATATTATGTTTCGATAATTTTTTCTTTATGAGCTTTGAAAAATGTGTACAATTCATCGGGAAAATCCTTGAAATCCGGGATTTTTTCATTTCAACTTGTTTGCATTTACTGTGTGAAAGCACAATTTCTAAAAACAAATTAATTCTCTCATCCATGAAAAATTTATAGACCTCACTCGTTAATTATCTGCTAATATTTTACAAATTGGATTAAAATCGTACACAATTCTACATGATTCCAAGTAAATTTTGTCAAATGCCAGACAAGAGAGTTTCATTTTTTTCAATTAAAACTTTAGTGTTTGATCAATCCATGTTAATCATGTTATTACGACGATAATTATTCGGTACATAAGTCTTTTCTGTTGACCTATCTCTAATCTTCTACGGTACACATTTCATGATGCAGAGTGCAGTGAAGCGAGACTGATAACGATAATCAGTGAGCGCACGGCAAAAGTAAGCAGTGGCCAGCCGAGGTGAAATTTCACAACTGAATTGTTATCGCACAGTTTTTATTCAGTAAATTAACCGCGTATAATTATTTGCAGAAATGCAGGAAAGTTCAGCATTTTTAGTGTGAATCTGAGTATTGAGATAGCTTCTGATCATCATTGGTAGATAGTTTGCTTGATTTTATTCTGAAATTCTTGTTAGGAAATTACGCACGCGTGCATTACCCCCTTTACATCTAAATTTTGAAATTTAAAAATCGGGAAATAGTTGCAAAAATATTAAAACAAACATTTAGCCTGCGCCCAAACAATCTAAACAATGTATTGAAGTACAGGTTGCGAAGCATTTTGCCATTCAGTATTTTAGATTAAATATGAAGATACTGTGATCGTGACTGAAAAACCAAACGAAATTTTTTTAGATTTTAAGTGACAATTTATGGACATTTATATATATGGCACTAGCACCAGAGTAAATGCATTAACTTAATGCAAATGCTTATGCTAAGATAATGCTGTTATCAACAGCGAACGGTGCTTTAGTGGCTAAATTTGTTGAACAACTGACGCGATCATTCAGTTTTCTCACGTCGTCTTAGTGAGCACACATTCAAACAAGTTACGAATCATTTTCAAAAGCGCAAAATAATAACTTTATATTTATTTCACTTGTATTTCATGTCCCTTAGTCTAATTTTGTCTATTTGATAATTATTTCATAATTATCGGCCCATTACACACATGACAATAAAAGATTACTAAGTTCCATGGGATTGTCTAGCTACTTTTATTTACTTGACGCTATCAAAATTGAGACGCTATCAAGTGCATCTTCAATTAGTTGATACAAATATCCTTGTGAAAATAGGAAAATTTATTATATATCTAAAGGGCTAGGATGATAATAAAATAATTGGTTGTTGAGAGTAATGACGATGTAAAATAAAAAGAAAAAGCATTCTTGACACAAATTTAAATAAAATTTTATTGAAATTTATTTGTTTGCACCCTAGCTAGTGCAAGGCCATAGTATTTCTCACAAATAAATCTTTGGACTGTGTATGGAGCTTCGGTGAATCACTAAAAAAGTGAGCGAGAGCAGAATAATGAACCCTCCAGAAATTTATATCCAACGAATAACTTCTTCTAGGGATAATTTTAGTGTTATTTTTACAATTATACCATACGAAGCAAGCAAATTAGTCCAAGAATTACATTTTCTTGTCGAGGCTGGGACTAAAATGAAAATCATTTTAATCAAGCTATTTAATTCCTGAGGAAAGATAAATAAAGGTCGAAGAGATGCAAACTGTCGGTCAGTTTTCCTGATCAACCTGAAATTTGGGTTCCAAATTAATGAGAGTTAAACTTTCCAACGATAATATCTGCATTAAATAGCTTTGTCATTCAAGTATTCATATTTAGGGCTGAGTTTCATGCATATCAAACAAATGTTTGAACATAAACCTCTGGCCCATAAGAACATAAACCACTGGCCCAATAGTCAGACCTTTCACATTCTTTTAAATCACTAAACTATTGGAAATGCGCCTCAATTTAATTCAGAGAGATTAATAATTTCTTTCCACTTTGCCATTGTGTTAATCAGGAACTATTAGTATCTAAATTAGTTTGCTATTTTTTCGTAAGTAAAACGTAGAAGTCTATAGTTTGCTTCGTAAACATAAACGAAGTTTCGCTCTTGATCTGGGCCCATACTTTCAAAACAATGTTAAGAGATCGTAAGTTCAACAGCCAATCATTGACGGCCTTTAAAGCAAAATCCACCAATCATAGACAAGAAAATAGAGCGTAAGTACTTACGTTCACTTAGCGAGTTTTGAAAGTATGGCCCCTGATATGCAAAAGAAAAGCGTCGTAGGGTAAGAGTTCGTTCATTTTATTATTATTATTACTTTTTGCCATCAGATGCCTTTTAATTTGATAGTAAGAATGCTACATGTTACATCATTATTATAGCTTGCCATGGGTCAATTCTCTCTATGCAATAAATGAAACAGAATTGGAGCCATTTTATTGTAGTTATTTTCTACGGGTACTCTAGTTAAAGCAACTTCTTTTTTGCATACTGAAATTTTTATTGGTAAATTGCTTATTTTAATTGGTGCACAGGAAAATAATTCACAGCTTACTCAGTCATGTGACAAACTTGAGGGTTTGCAATCTAAAAAGTGATTCATATAATGATGAATAACAGTTATT